AGATAGATAGATAGATAGATAGATAGATAGATAGATAGATAGATAGATAGATAGATAGATGATAGATAGATACTGTGTATATGTGTGTGTCTGTGTATATACATACATGTGTCTTGAATGTATATACATATTTGAATTTGATCAACAGGCCTATCAACATGGCTAGCCCTATGGCTTCTTTGCTGCAGAGATTTGATAATTCTTCTCGACTTCTTCTCTGCGCACTGATATCTGGACAATGGGGGGCCATGGCTGCCTTTCAAACTCTTCAACGGTCACTCTCTATGGAAAAAGGAAGACAACATTTCAATTGGCAGGTCTTCACTGAGAAACTCTGCTCTCAAGAACCAGTGCTGGAAGAGCCCAACAAGACTCTTACCATGTAAGTTAAGCTTGTTTCTCATTAGAAAGGTGAGACAAGGGGCCTTTCTAGGAATTCTGAAATGTAATTTTTCCCCTCAGGAACCAGTGAAGATGAAGATTAATATGGTAGTTCTATACCCCTTCCCTTTCTTATTTTACTTCATTTCTAAAGGAAAGAAGTTATTTTATAATGTGGAATCCTAGGAAAAACCAGAATCCCGCATTACAGACCCTAGATACATTTCAGTTTCTGCTCCGTGCTGTGTCAAAGTCACATGTGGGCTTGGTATGTAAGAGTCTCAGTTCTTTATGCTTCTGCAGAACATTTAACTAGTCAGCAATAGATAACTTGTGGCACTTCAAATACTGCTGAGTTATAATTTCCAATAGCCCCACACAATATAGCCAGTAATGAAGGATATAGTTTAATAGCAAGAGAGGGTCCAAAATGCAGTAGAACAGGGGTCCCCGACCCTGGGTCCATGGAGTTGCACCAGCTTGCAGCATGCCAGAAACCAGGTGAATCCCCATCCGCAGGATGCAGGCAGCAAGTGATACCACGCCCCCTCCGATCCACAGAAAAACCTCTCTCTATGGAACCTGTCCCTGATGCCCAAAACATTGGGGACCACTGCAGTAGAGTGTCTACACCTATCAACAGCATAACATGGTGGACAAGGGCTGTTCAACACATGGCAGTAGTACACTGTTTGTAAGGTTGGTGACAAACCCTAACAGTTCCTTAAAGCCTAGATTCTCATAGACCCTCATTAGGGCACATATAACCTTTTCCACATATAGTGGAACAGGAGTCCACTTACAGAATCTTGTTTGTTTGTTTGTTTGTTTATTTCATTTGTATGCCGCCCTTT